GGTATTGGAACAAGAACAGACATACAGACCAATGGAATCGAATAGAAAATCCAGAAATAAACCCACAGATTTATGGTCAACTAATCTTTGACAAAGGAGCAAAGACTATGCATTGGAGCAAAGAAAGTTTGTTCAATAAATGGTGCTGGGAAAACTGGGTTGCTACATGCGAAAGAATGAAGCTTGACCACTACCTCACACCATACACAAAAATCAACTCAAAATGGATTAAAGAACTAGACATAAGACCTGAAACCATAAAATACATAGAAGGAAATATAGGCGAAACACTACGGGATTTGCACATCAAAGACATCTTTACAGACACATCACCCAAAGCAGTGATAGTGAAGGCAAAGATAAACAGCTGGGACTACATCAAATTAAAGAGCTTCTGCACAGCAAAAGAGACAATAACAAAAACAAAGAGAAACCCCACCGACTGGGAGAACATTTTTGCACCCAACACTAATGATAAAGGACTGATCACAAAAATCTGCAAAGAGCTGATGAGACTCAGCAACAACAAAGAAAATAATCCAGTCAAAAAATGGGCAGAAGAGCTAAAAAGAAACTTCTCTGAAGAGGAAATGCAAATGGCCAACAGACATATGAAAAAATGTTCAACATCACTTGTCATCAGGGAAATGCAAATCAAAACTACCATGAGATACCATCTCACACCAGTAAGAACAGCACATATTAAAAAAACTAGCAACAACAAATGTTGGCGAGGGTGTGGAGAAAAAGGAACTCTTCTGCACTGTTGGTGGGAGTGCAAACTGGTCCAACCACTGTGGAGAGCTGTGTGGAGATTTCTGGACCTACTAAACATAGAGCTTCCATATGATCCAGCAATTCCACTCCTAGGTATTTACCCAAAGGACACAGAAACATCAACGCCAAAGAACACCTGCACCCCTATGTTTATAGCAGCACTATTTACAATAGCTAAGCTTTGGAAACAGCCCAAATGCCCAAAAATAGATGACTGGATCAAGAAGATGAGGTACATATACACCATGGAATATTACTCAGCATTCAAAAAAGATAAACACATGCAATTTGCAGCAACATGGATGGCGTTGGAAGGGATCATGCTCAGCGAAATAAGCCAAAAAGAAAAAGAAAAATACCGGATGGTCTCACTCATAGCAGGAATCTAGAAAACTTAAATAAGGGACCAGGAAAATGAATAACTATAAGAAAGTGAATATCAAAATCAACAAAAAACTATGAACCAGAGACACTTTTTGGGGGTGGGGGGCGGGAGGGGAGGGATTGGGGTCAGAATGGGGCGTTTGCAATTGTATGGGGGAATATAAAAATAAAATTTATTATTTAAAAAAAAAAATATATGGTTTCCTGAAGCTTTAGAAGGCAACACTAAGTTTAACAAGTCCAGTGTCTCTTACAAAGGACAGAAACAAAGAGGAGATGTTGCTAATCTCTTTCCCTCTAGCTCACTGGTTCCCAAAGTGTGGTTCCCAGAAGAGCTACATTAGGACCACCTGGAAATTTGTTGGAAATGAAAACACTTCAGCCCCATCCCAAACCTGCTGAATCAGAAATGGTGTAGGGGAAGCAAGGGGTGTTTTACAGGTTCTCCAAGAGGTCCTGCTGCTCAGAAGCAAAGGTCTGCAAACTAAGGCTTGCAGGCCAAATCCTGCCTGTAGCCCATTTTTGTAAATAGTTCTATTGGAAAAACTGCCACATTCATTCATTTACATATTGTCTATGGCTGTTTTCATTGTAGGATGGCAGGGCTGAGTAGTAGCTGCCACAGAGACCCTATGGCCTGCTAAGCCTAAAATATTTACATCTGGTCATTTACAGAAAGTTTGACGACCCATACTCTGACTGAGAGCCATGTTTTTTATTTAGTAAGAGCCAGGGGTGGACTAGAGAACCGTGTGTTTTTAAACTTCTGATTTTACCCATCAGCACATAACAGCTCCTACTTCTAATTTTGTCTTATTTTCTTATCAAGCTTCCTATCAAATGAACTGGATACTCCTATTTCCTTGTGTCTGTGTCCCTAGGAATGAATCTCTGTTGATGGCTCTGGGTGACTTTGTCTCATGCCCACATTATAGGACCATTCTTGTGTAGGGGTGAATTCAGTTGACAACTGCTAGATTTATGAGTACACTGCTAGCCAGATGAAGATCAAAGCTTACTCCCCAATGAATGATTAGAAATGCCCACTCCCAAATTCAGAGTTGGCCTTCTTGAAATTAATACCTTCAATAAGGTAGCTAACTGCAGAAAAGGATGGGGAACTTCCTCTGCACGTAAAGCAAGAAAGGTTGTATCACCTTTCCCAAAACATTTTTAGATTACTTGAAAGGCCATGCACATAATTATCACAGTATATTACAAAATGTGATATAATTTAAATATGACATGATATGTTAGAACATAAAACATCAAAGGCTCCTTTAGTGTCCTTTTCCTTTTATCCTGCTATAGATGAATGCTAGGTAAATTAAATTTCACTTCTATCCACTGCTCTCAAACAAGCAATTAGTCAAACTGTTAGTTATATCAGTGGCTACCTACATTCCAGAAAAATCAATCCAAAGCATAAGGAGTTCACGAGAGAAACCATCGTTATCTGAAAGGTTAACCCAAGGACAGAAATATACAACACACTAAGGGTGCAAACCAAGCTTCCGTCAATAATTTAGTGGTAATTATATTGGTCTGGCCCAGCACAGTTATAAGTTCAGCTAATAAAGAGGCTTAAAATCTAATAGGGCTTTGTTCCTTCTGCGGAGTGATTCTTAATGTCCTTTACAATAAAATGCTCTAAGTTTCTAAGTATTATGCATATTAGAAGATTTAATATCTTATTTGTTATTTTATTAAAGTTATACATGCTTCACAGTAATAAAATTTAGTTTCTTTAGCTCTCCCCCAGAGTCCCGGAACTTCACTCTTACTCATTTTTACATAATTCAACTGTGGATTCGAAGAACAGGAGGAAGAAAACAAAATGATGCTATAAACATATATAAAATTATGATAAATGATTTTCTGTTCCTTCTCCAGGAGACTCAAGGTAACTCCCTTCTTGGGAGTTCTGACTCCTCTGTGAGACAGATATTCTGACAGATTCTAAAAAACATGTTTTCCAGGTACTTCATAGTTCAGTGAAATTACACCAGTATAATCCTCAGTGGGGGAAAAAGTCTACACAAGAATAGCAGTACTCTGAATTTTCAAAGGAATGTGAGATGCTGGAAGCTAATCAAAAGAATAAGAAGAACTTATAAATGAAGCAGTTTCTAAAAGTGAAAATCAGCAAAACTATCTCTCCTTTCTCAAAACATCAAAGTCCTGCAATCACTGACTTTTGTTTTTAATCATCCACCATTTCAAGATATGAAAGCATTAAAAGGGACTAACTGTGTTGATTCAGTCATTGATTATACTCACAAAAGGGAAATAAGGCTATTTATGATGGCTCCAAAATCTAACATTTAATTAATATGGCATTTTCAAGTACTCTGAACAGAATTTTAAAATTTATAGTTTTAAGAAATTACAGCTAAAAAATGCCCTCAGATACATATTTATATTTGAAACTGAGAAAATGAAAATTGCAGAAAAATTCCAAAGACTTTCAAAATGAAGATATTTGTATATGACTGAGGACAGTGTGATCAAAATGAGATGCAATATTCTATGCTTTCTGGAAAAAAAGGTTGGATTTTACTCGAGTAAAAATGATCTAAAGAACTACTTCACAAATGTCTGCAGTTATAATTTTCTCAATTATAATAAATTAATATAATTTACAGAATACACTATCACAGATAAAGATGATCAAGTGATAAATGACCATAAAATAATAAATAATAATAATAATAAATAAAATAATAAATATAATAAATAAAATAATAAATCTGGATGATAGCTGAAAAGATAACTAAAACTAGAGAGCATAATTTATATCATAATTTAGAGGAAAAAGACAACTTTGGGAAATGCTGCTTCAGTCTTTGGTTGAATATTAATTTTGTACCAACTAATACATACTATGCAGTGTATTTTTATAACAAAAAGCAAAAGACAGTTTATATGCTCCCTACACGATGATCAAATGTCTTCACTTAAGCAAGTATCAGGGAAGCTCATGGAATCATTACCAATTTAGTCCAATAGAACATGCACAACTCATCCTTGTGATCACCCTGAGTCATCAAGAAACATTAACTCTTTATGGCCTGCCTTTTTTGGTGAAGTCACCCTTTTTCTGTAATTGGGGCCATGACGATATATACTAGTGCAATAAACTTAGACAGTTCCCTTGTATGTATGCTCAGGAGTTTCTGTCATTTCTATAGACAACAAGTAGGTAATTCTATTTCATTAGGGCATAAATTCTAAAACAGCAAGGATTTTTGTGTGTACGGTTGTTAAGGCTCCACTATTTACAACAGCGCCTAGCACATGACAGGCACTCAATAAACATTTGTTGAATGAGTAACTGTCAAACCAAAAGACCAACAACTTAACCATTGACTATTTCCTAGAAGACTTAAAAGTTATTTATTCTTTGAAATTCTTGATAGGTCCTGAAGGTTTAATATATGCAATACATAACAACTCTGTGAGGGTAAGGAAGTAGTATATTTGGGGGAAAGAATTCCTTAAAATGTTAGCTTCCAGTTACATGGGAATCAGACCCTCTGGGAAGTTACTGACCTAAAATTATACAACAGAAAAGGTAAATACTTCAATAGAGATTTCTGTGGATAAACACTCAAATGAAAGAAAGAATGCCACAACTCATTTAGCCTCACCTTGCAGCAAAACCAATGTCAATGACTTCAGAACATTCTTTTTCTGAGTAGATTTTTCAGGAACCATCCAAGCCATGGGGTGTTTATATTAGGAAACTAGTACTATATTTCCCACTGATTTAATCAATTTTCCCCCCTAACCAACAGACAGAAGAATTAGCACATGGAAAAAGCCTTATTTTTAATCACCTGATGCCGGGCTCGACTCTGATCCAGAAGTTGTCTGGACTGAAGTTTTTGTTGTTCAAGTTGCTGCAGGGCAAAATGGAGTTGGTAACTGCCTGCGGTGGGATGATATTTATGCTGAGGGACCACCCCTGTAGCCTTGCTGTACGCGTTGTTCTCTACCTCGCCCTCCCAGGCAAAGCTACCTGTTTGGAGGCTCCTGAAAAGAAAAGAAAGTAAATTACTTAGAGTGGTTGTATGAACAATAAAAAGGGAAGGAGAGAAATATCTCAGGTATTTTTCCTTTATTGAAATAAACACAGTTTGAAATTAAAAGTAAATTACAAATTGATGGGCCTCCCCCGTGGCGCAGCGGTTGAGCGCTGGGTTGCGAAGCTGCCCGCAGCCTCTGCAGCGCCGGTTCGATCCCCGGCTGCTGGTCGAGGGTCCCACATGGCACACAGACCTCTCCTGCTGCCCGCTGCTCCCCTCAGCAGTGTACTTCGTCAGTCTGCCTGTTCTGTTCCCTGCTCTGACTCTGGTGAATTCTCTCACCCTCCTGCACCTCTGACTGTACCCAGTGCTTGTATAAATAAATAAATCTTAAAAAAAAAAGTAAACTACAAATTGATTAGATTAATAAGTTATCTAATGCACCCACTGTCTTTGTGTAGCTGCACAAAGACAAAAATATAAAGACGATGTTTGCGCTGTTCTCCGTTCTATTTGTAGCTCCTATTGTGAGGTCTGGGTCATCAGAGAAACTCTGTCTTCATCAGTGTACAACAAATACAGGAGGGTAAGTTAGTTTAAGGCAGAAACAGAGGAACAATCATCTTCTCTAACATCAACTTCAAAAGTATAGGGGTGAATTTTACAGAATTCTTGATTTTTCTTAACCACCCATTAGTGAAGTACCTAAATTTTAAAAATGTGTTTATATTCAAGCTTATGACCCATCATGGAATAGCATAACTGGTGTGTGAAGGTACTTTTTTCATTTTTCTAAATTTAGCTGAACTGGGTCCCTAAGCCAGGTTCACATTTAGTGTACACACAGGGAAGGTAAAGGGCTCATGCTCTTCAGCACCTGTACCATGCTATCTGTGAGAAACTCTGTCCTCCTTGCCCAAATTCTAAAATTTTTAATACTGGTGACTGTATCTGTATACATTGAGTTGAAGTCTTCATAACTATAGGCTCCTACATTTCCCTACTCAGTCCATTTCTTCCAGGTTAAAAAAATAGAGTTTTTCCATTTACTACCACTTCATACCCACTAGGAGGGCTAATATTCAAAACAAAACAGAAGTTAACAAGTGCTGGCAAGCATATGGAGAAGTTAGAACTCTCATGAATTGTTGCTGGGAATATAAAATGGAATAAATGTTCCAGGAAACATTCTGGCAGTCCCTCAAAAAGCTAAATACAGAGTTCCCAAGTGATCTAGCAATTCCGCTCCTAGGTATAAACCCAAAGGAACTGAAAGTAGGGACCTCAGATAGTTGTACACCAATCTTCATGCAGAACTATTCATAATAGCCAAAAGTCAGCCCACATATCCATCAACAGATGAATGGCTAAATACAATATGATGCATACACATGGTGGAATATTACTCAGCCTTGAAAAGGAAGGAAATTCTGATACTTGATATACATGGATAAACTCTGAAGACATTATGCAAAGTGAAGTATGTCAGTCATAAATGAACACATTATATGATTTCACTTATATGTGGTACCTAGGATAGTCAAATTCATAGAGACAGAAAGTGTAGTAGTGTTTGCCTGGGGCTGTGGAGATGGGAATGATAATTATTATTTTTTAAAAGATTTATTTATTTTTATACAAGAATTGGGGTAGAGGCCAGAGATGCGGGGTGTGAGAGGATTCACCACAGACAGAATGGGGAACAGAACAGGCAGACAGACTAAAGCACACTGCTGAGGGGAGCAGCGGGCGAGACAGGAGAGGCCTGTCCCTCCATGTGGGTTTCTCCCCGGCCAGCCGGGAATCGAACTCACGCTGCAGTGGCTGGGGACCGCTGCATAGGTTGCGTCTTAACCCCTGTCCCTGTGCCACCAGGGAGGCCTGATAATTATTTTTTAATGGGTACTGAGTTTCAGTTTGTGATGTTGAAAAAGTACTGGAGGTGGCTGGGTTGGTAGTGTTGACCACACAGCATTGTGAATGCAATAAATGCTGTTGAAGTAAGTACTTAAACTAGTAAATTTTATGTTATATATATTTTACCACAATTAAACAAATCCACTTATAGAACAGTCATATTTGGCAGTCCTTAATACTTTTGGATATTCTTTTACGAACCTTCTTTGACTACCCTGCAACTCCCCCGCTCTACCCCCCACACTCCCAAACACCACCTTTCGGTACAGTGACCAGAAAATTATACATAGAAGAAACATGAATTACTTCATGTGAACAACCTTGCCCCAAACCATAGCTGATGGGGCTTAGAGAAATGAAATAATGCCTGATTTAAGAAAACAGTCATAATCATTTAAATCATTTTGTTATTTTCCTTGTAAATTTCCTTTGGTGTTAATGCTTATTTCAGTGGTAAAGATGCAGCAACATTAGGGTGATGTTATCCAGACCTTCCTGAGTCTTGACCTACACGTCACCTGGCAACTTATAGCCTGGGTCCTAATGACTCCCCAGAGTCCTGTGAGAGGGGGCAAAGTGGAATGTCTTTGGGGGCCAGAAGTTCAGGCTCTTCTCTTACCTGTGAACTCCCTTAGAGTTGGCTCATTTCATGTCTCTACTTTGGTGTCCCTGCTTCTTTCAAAGAGACTTCCAAAGACCTAGTTAAGGGGACGTCTGTGAAATGGATTCTGAAGTCCACAGAGGAAAGGTTTCCTACCCACAGCACCTCACCTCTTTGCGTCACAACCCTTGCCCATCCCCCACAGTTTGGCTCCCACAGTTCAGTTACACAATTACACACTTAAGCTAATCTTCTTGGGGAACAGAACCAAAAAGCTCAGAGCTTGCTTACTTAATAATTTTTTGAGTATGACATTTAATCTTCAGTGATCCATCTTGAAATGCCATAAGGTCTATGCTGTTACATAGTTAAAAAGATGATCTTTCTCAAGGGGCTTCTGGGGCTATGGAAAAATGTGGCCACCTATGACTGAATATAAATAAGCACCAAAATACATTAATAAAAATGTCAACATTATTAACAAAGAAAGAGTTGCATAAACGTTAAAGAGGAATTACAGGGCCTCCCCTGGTGGCGCAGCAGTTGAGCGCTGGGCTGCGAGGCTGCCCGCAGCCTCTGCAGTGCCGGTTCGATCCCTGGCCACCGGTAAGGGTCCCACAAAAAAAAAAAAAAAAAAAAAGAGGAATTACAGGTTAGCAAAGAAGGGGTCAGAGGAACCTGTTATCTCTTCTCTCATTAGTGCGGGAAGAGAAAAGTTTACTAAAGATAAGTGTAAGTAATGGAACAGCTAAGGGAACTAAGTGAGTTGTCAGTGGAAGGAGGGCCAAAGGCAAAAGGTATCCAGAGAAGGTTCGAATAGGAGTGGGCTGATCCACTGAACAAATGAAGACAAGGGAAGAGACAGATGAAACAGCACAAACTGGCTGAATAACCTTGAGATTTCCATACCAATTAGCACAGGCCTTGGAATCTAGAATGAAACTATTATTTATGACAACTGGACCAAAGGTCAGAAAAGTCATTAATTGTGATTCTATTTCCATCACAAGCTTGCTGGTAATAGTTTTCGCAATCTAGACACAAGGGTTAGCTATTAAAGGATTTATGTAACAATACAGTTTATGTCAGAATGCATCTCGTAGATTAGCTTTATGGTCTAGGAACTGCTTTAATAACAAATATTCCCAGGAAGCATTTACCTTAATGGCTTCCTGCTGTGTGTCAGAAATAGGGTCTGTAATTTGGAGATGGTCAGGCATAGTCTCTCAGGTGTGCATGCACTAAGGGGTCTGTGGTGGTATAACGAGTAGGACAATGGGCAAGAAAAGATTAAATAGAGGACTTCGGCTAAATTTATTCAGCCAAATGCACACATATTGAACAGAATGTAACATTCATAAACTTTTATAGTGAAAGCTGTTTTTAATCCCATTAGTAACACAAGCCCAGTCTCCAAATCACAAAAGGAAGTTTCTCATGCAACTAGAGGTTTTTAGAAAAGAGGCAGGAATTTTTACAGTGCAGCCCTGGGTGGGAGTGCTCAGCTGTGCAAGGCAGTGTGGTAAGTGCCACAAGAAATCTGCTTGCTTTGAATGTGAGAGGCTGTTACTCAGGGCTGGTGTCTCACAAAAAAACACAAGTCATTGGGGTTTGCAACATGTAAGCGCTGGGAGTGAAGGAGAGGAGTTGGCGCACGCTCACGCCTGAGACGATACCGCTGCACAGGCCGTGCCCTGGCCTCTGAGAGGTTTCATTTCCATCCATAATCCCATCTCACTCTCTGGAACCTAGCTCATTCCAGTTTACTAGTTATATACTTTCTACTCCCACCAAATTTCTGAGGTTCAATAATTCCAAAATTTAATTTGCTCAATACAAGTATTTAATATTGCACATATTCCTTGTAAATAACTTCTAATAGTTTTATGTTATTTCGAGAATAGAAAATATAGGCAGTCAGCTGTGGGAATGCTCGGAATGTTTAACATTTGATTCAGACTCCAAGATTCCTAGTAAACTCTGCTGTATTTTGTCTTTACTTCCTATGTAGTTAGTAGGCAGCTATATGACAAGTTTTTCTGAATACCACATTCTCATCTTTGCCTGTTTACTTTCTGTATTACACAGTGGCACTAACAGTGTAAACACAGAGGACTAAATGTTTCTCTCCATGGAAAGGCCCTTTGTGTAGCACCCACCCAGCCTATAGTCAATACAAACTAGAGGGTTACCCTTAGCCCTTTAATGTCTGTTCCATGAAATGGATGTTGGCTTTCAAGCACTTGGAGACAATCTGTAAATTGCACTGGTCTTTAGAAAGCAAAATCTCCCGAACAGGCTGTTGCACTCTCTATACTTGGCTTTCAATGTCAAGACGTGATGTCATAAGAATGTGGGGCGGCGATGAGAAAGGGGAATGTGACAGTCCCACAAAGTGTAATTCTACAGTCCATTTTCCTATCTTCCCCCAAATCCAATTCCAACAACTCCTGAGCTATCATGTAAGCTTCTGCCCCTCTTGAGGGTGT